CGCCACCGCGGCGGGGGCTGCCCCCCACCGCTCCCCGGGGCGTGGGGGGGCCCCGCAAGGCTCCTGCCTCGCCCCGCTCATGCGTGGGGGGCCCTGCGGGGCATTGCCTGTGCCGTGTGCTGCCCTGCTGCCTGCACCCCGCGTTGCCTGCCCTGCCTGCATCGCCCTATGGATGCTGCACGTTGCCCCCTATACGTACCCTGCCTGCATCGCCCTATGAATGCTGCGAATTGCCCCCTGCCCGCATCGCCCCACACATGCGGCTGCGCCTCGCTGCATGCTCACGCCCGCCTTGCCCGCCTGCTAGGCCGTGCCTGGCCCACCGGCGCGTGCCGTGTGCCGGAAGAGCCGCGCCAGCTCTGCCAGACCGCAGTGGCGGTGGTTGCGGTGGCCCCGGTTGCGGAGGGAAGGGCCGCTGCACGTGGTGAAGCTGGCGGGGCCGCAAGGCAATGCCGCGTCCCTGTGGAGCGTGCCGAGTCCTCCCAACATGGAGGAGCCGCTGCGGCAAGGCCGCGACAGGGCTTCACCGTGCCGCATCCTCCTGTGGCGATGAAGCAACCGGGGAGACGCGGCAGGCAAACCCCGGGTGCGGCAGGCAGGGACGGGGCATGGGGGCTGCTCCCAGCTCCGCTCCCCGAGGCCGGGTCCCCCCGCAGCCACGTCCCTGGGGGGTGCCAGGACCCCCGCACTGCGCTTTGCTGATCGGACCCCTCTAAACACTGCGGCTCCCGGCGGAGCCAGGCGAGGGTTGGGGACTGGTGACCGAGGGCAGGTGTCACCCAGTCGGGTGCTTGCTCTCTAATGATGCCCGCATCTAATTACAAACTGCCCTCGCCCTCCCTGGGCGCTCGGGGAGGATGCGGCAGAGGTCGAGACCCCCCAAATCGCTCCTCAAAACTTGCAGGGTTTGCAACCGGTTGCGGTCCTCCTGCCACGGGGACGGGCCGTGCCGGAGGGGGAGAAGCAGCCGGAGAGCAAGTGGCCATTTTGTGCCGTTTGGATGCCTTAGCCCCTGGCCGCCAGCATTGCAGTTAAACTGTCTGGGGGTGCGATGCCCACAGCACCCAGCGCTGGCTGCAGGCGCTGCCCTCGGCCTCCTATCCCCTCTGCAAGGGCAGGCGTGAGCCGCGGCGCTGCCGGGAAGCCTGCGGTGCCCGCCAGGCCCGAGCGGGGATGGCTCCACAGGGGCGGGTGCTGTTCGGGGGCTTCTCGCAAACTCCTGCACCCCGAGCGTTGCCGAGAAGTTGCCAGGTAAATGCCGGCATGGGCATGCTTTGGTACAGGCAGAAAGCAGGCAGGGCACTGCAGCAGGGTAGCACCGGTCCTCTGCTGGCCCTGCACCGCGTGTGCCGGAGCGCTTCTGCAGGCGGGTGATGGCAAAGATGTGGGTGCTGCAGGTCGGCTCTTCCCCGGGGTGTTTCCCTGCTGCCAAAGGGACGTGCAGGCAGGGCACTGTGCAGGCAGCTGCCTGGTGCTGGGGGAGCAGGGGAGCATGTGGGGTTCACCCCCGGGAGCGCACCCGCGAGTCGAGCCCTTGCCCTGCGTTGCAGCTCCTTGCGCGCATCGAGCGCATGGAAAGGCGGGTGCAGCTGGTGAAGAAGGACAGCGAGCGGGAGAAGCACCGCATCTTCCAGGGCTTCGAGGTGGATGAGAAGCCGGAGGCGGAGGCGTGCGAGAAGCTGCCACTGGAGTGTCCCCAGGACCTGCTGGAGCCCCCCCCGACCCTGCAGCCCAAGCACTTCCCCTACGGCAGGAACGGGAAGGGGCACAAAAGGTAGAGGGTGCCCGGCCGCGCCGGGGGGGTGCGGGGGGCCCGGGAGGACAGGGAGGACCTTCCCTGTGGCTTCACCCTCCATCCATGGGGTTGGCACTCGAGCCGCTTGGAGAGGCTGCCTGGCACCGGGAGCGCTTCCCATCATCCATGGGCACTGCGGGAACCTCGTGAAAGCCTGGGTGAGGAGCAGGGGGTCCCAAAACACTGGGGAAGCCCCTCTCGGCTCTGGAAACCTGCTGCCAGCCGGTCCTGGCACGGCAGCCCTGGTTTGGGGGTGCCGGTAGCCCTGGTGTGGGACGAGGATCCGTGCGCCCGGCTCAGCTCCTCTTCCTCCCGCAGGAAGCCAACGTTTGGGAGCGCGGAGAGGAAGACGCCCGTTAAAAAACTGGTGTCCGAGTTCTCGAAAGTGAAGAGTAAAACTCCGAAGCACTCCCCGGGGAAGGAGGAATCGGGCGGCTCCTTGTCCGAAACTGTTTGTAAACGAGAACTGCGGAGCCAAGAGACTCCAGAAAAACCCAGGTCGCTCCTGGAGACCCCGCTCCGAGCCTCGGCCCTGCCAAAGGGCCCCAGCGCCCACCCCAAGGAGAAGGGCTTCTTCAGCAGCGAGACAGACGACCTGCCCTATCTCTCAACCACGGAAATGTACTTGTGCCGCTGGCACCAGCCGCCCCCGTCGCCGCTGCCGTTGCGGGAGCCCTCCCCAAAGAAGGAGGAGACTGTAGCAAGTAAGCGATGGAGAGCCCGCCGCGGCACAGGCAGCAGCATGCCGGGCGTTGAGGCAGCGTCAGCGGCCGGAGAGGGGTTTGCCTGCCTTGGGGCAAGCATGGCGGACAGGGAACGGGGCTTGGCATCCTTGCCCTGAAGCTGGCAGAGTCCCAGACGCAGTGGGAGAGGTGCAGCCCCTTGAACCACGCTGCTGGCTCCTTCCGCGGTGGCCGGTAGTGGCCCTGCTGCTGGTGATGGGCTCTCCCGAACCACGTCTCCGGCACGCTCCGGGCCACCGCCGCGCTGGGCTGCTGCTGCCTGCAGGGCCGAGCTGAGGGCAGCGCGCTGGGCAGGGCTGCCGGCCCCGCTCCGCTTTAGCCGCCTGGTTTGCCGAGCAGCCCGTGTTGCCCGTTTGAGCAAGGGGTGAAGCAACTTCCCGTTCGCGGTTGGGAAACGTGTCTCTGGCTTGTGCCGCCATGGCACAGCACGGGTTCCTCCATCGGGTTGCCTGCTGCCCCCGAATCCGGTCATGTCCTGCCGGCCGCCCCTTCCCAGCCGATCTCCTATGGGTCCTGCAGCACGGCGAGCACGGTGATGGGGAGCACTGGGCTGTGCCGCGGCAGATGCCAATGCTGCCAGTGAGGCTGCGCTGGATGGCCAAGCGCCCCGGTGCAGGGGGAGCTTGGCATGTCTCCTCTTAGAGCAGCTCAGGGTTGCTTATGCACTGGGCCGGGGGGATGGCGACGAGCTCGCCCTCCTGTCTCTGCCTCCCCCTGGCAGCTCCCACCGCCCTCAGCCGGCGGCATCGCCCAGCCCGGCTCAGGACGGGGGTTTGGGGAGGCTGAGCTGCGCTCCCCAAGGGAGGGACGGGCTGGAAAGGAGCGGCGAGGTGGCAGGGATGGGGCTGGAGCGTGGGGCCATGGGGGGTCCCGGTGTAGGGTAACGGCCTGGCCTCTCGCCCCGCAGTTCCGTCTTGGAGGGACCATGTCGTGGAGCCCCTGAGAGACCCCAACCCCTCGGACCTCCTGGAGGTACGTACGCCGCCCCGGTGGGTGCAGTAGCCGCCGTCAGAGCTGGCATTGCTGCCGGCACCTTCCCGGCTGTTTCACCACTCCGGGAGAGCAGTTTGCAGTGTTCACTGCTGCTGTGGGGCTGGCAGCATCTCGTCCCCTCATCTGGCATGAACGGCGCGGCAAACGCCGGCTGCAGTTGGCGGGCTGGGTTGGGGGTGAAGGAGCAGCCCCTCTGCACCGCGGCGGCTCTGGCTGCCGGCTCAGGGCCGTGCCGGTGCCGGGAGGATGCACTCATCCCCATCTGTCGTTGCAGAACCTGGATGACAGCGTCTTTTCCAAACGGCACGCGAAGCTGGAGCTGGATGAGAAACGAAGGAAAAGGTGGGAGCAAAGAGGGCGATGGGGGCCCGGGGTCCCCAGCAGAGCGGGCGGTCTGCACCCACTCCCGCAGGGAAGGGCCCGGGGTGGGGGGCACGCGGGATCCGGTCGCCCAGGGCGCAGCTGGGATGGCAACCAGAAACGCTGCCGGAGGAGGGATGCTCCCGCATCGCTGCCAGCGTGGCAGCCCCGGCGCAGCCCCCCGAGCTTCCCGGGAGCGGGGAGGCACCTGCCCGCTCGCTCCCTGCGGATTCTCACTGCCCGGGGCATCGTGTTTTCCAGGTGGGACATCCAGCGGATCAGGGAACAGAGAATTCTACAGCGGCTGCAGCTCCGAATGTACAAAAGGAAAGGGATTCAGGAGTCGGAGCCTGAAGTTACCTCATTTTTCCCTGAGCCAGATGACGGTGAGTGCCTTTGGTGCTGGGGGGCAGGCAGGGGCGTTGGGGGCAGGCAGGGGGTGCTGCCTGGAGCAGGGGGTGCAGGCAAGGGGTGCGTAACGCTCCGGTGTCTCTCCCGCAGTGGAAAGCCTGCTCATCACCCCCTACCTGCCTGTCGTCGCCTTTGGCCGGCCCTTACCAAAACTGACCCCACAGTGAGTACCGGCATCACCGGCGGTGGAGGGGGATGGGGCTGGGCTGTGCCCGCCCCCGCCGCTCAGGCCGGCATCCTCGGCTGGCGCGTTTTTGGGTTGGGGATGGTGCCTCGGTGCGCTGACGCTGGCTCTGCCCGCAGGAACTTTGAGCTGCCCTGGCTGGATGAGCGCAGCCGCTGCCGGCTGGAGGTGCAGAAGAAGCAGACGCCGCACCGGACCTGCCGGAAATAGCCGAGCCGCCGGGAGCTCCGTACATCACCGGGTCGCACCGATGGCCGCTGCCCTCCCTTGCCTTCTCGTTGACGGATGGTTTCGTTCCTCCGTGACCCCAGTTTTGTTCTCTTGGGTTTTGCAACGCGTTCCCTGGACTTGTCCCCCCGTGCTGGCAGCCGTACGCCCAGCGGCACCGGCCGGCTGCTGGCCGAGGCTTCCCGCCGGCTGCTTCGGTCCCAGGGGAAGCGGGCAGACCCCAGACCCTGCCTGCCCGTTCTGCCCGTCCTTGCTGCCTGCTGCGGCTCCGCACGCTGCCCCTGCCCTCCCGCAGTTCGGTCCGAGGGGAGGGGGGCAGACCCCAGCCCCTGCCTGCCCGTTCTGCCCGTCCTTGCTGCCTGCTGCGGCTCCGCACGCTGCCCCTGCCCTCCCGCAGCAGACGTTGGGGTTATTTTGGACATTTCGGGTTT